AGTTTTTTATTTGGTGAGATGAGTTGGATAAGGATGACGATCCCGTGGTCACAGATGTTTGAAGATAGGGATGGTCGGATATTCCTGGGGGACTTAGAAAAGATCTCTGAGACTGCTGGACTGGATACTGACCAAAGTAATTTGGCGGCACTGAAGACCCACTTCAGGGGCTGAGCGAAGGCCAGAAATTGCTCTCGTAAGATGGACTGGGCCACCGCGAAAGAGGCACGTGCAGTGGAGTTCGACGCGCCGGCCGACCGGCAGGAGGCTATGAGGCGGTTCAAGACGGCCAGGATGGAATCGGGACGTGACCCTACCGTGTTCTTCGCCAGCGTGCAGCAGTCGTTGGATCGGGTTTTTATTGGATCTGGACGGAGTGTCGCCCTAGCAGCTGCTGCCTGACCAGTTCTTCAAAGGTGCGCAGGATGGTCTTCGTGCCCGGTTCCGGTTGGTGAGAGCAACTGGCCAGTTGAGAGGAGATAGCTGGTGCATCTTGCACGGGAGTTGGCCGAAGCACCACTGGTCACGCTGCAGTCACAGGATAAGATGGATGGTTCATCAGTGGAGGAAATGCAGACCAGAGTAAACCAACCCGCGGAACAGCTTGCACTCATAATGACGGAATCGCGAAGACAGGGTCATGAATGGGTGGTCGAACTCGTTCCCATAAGGCTGATGCAAATCCAACGGCAGGATCCTGTGTTATGGGAGGTTTCAGCCGCCCTGTTGGATGGAAGGAACGTCGTGAACGGAGAGGGAAACAGCTAATTGGATACGTTCCAGAGTCACTTTGATCGGCTGAAACTTAATGCATCTGGAACAGTTTCCTGGAATGCCACTAATTTGGATTGTTTGTTGATCAGATGGCTGTTGATCTGTTCGCCGAGCTTGGCAATTGGCTTGCAAACGTTTCGTCACCATACGAGGAGACCTCATCGGCGCGCAGTTGGGTGGGTACTTCTTCCTTGCCTGCGTGTGTTTATATAGCAGTCAAAGGTTATCTGTTATCTTCTGACGTGATTGGCTACCTGAAGTGTAACGAGTCTAGTGAATCTATTGGTCCGTTTGTGATCCTTGTTGCGTTGTGGTCTGTGTTCCTTTGTGTTGATTGGTTATCCCAACGGCTTCTAATTTTAGTAGCTTGTTCTCTCTGGCCTTGATTCGCATTGCGTTGTGGTCTGCCGTTATCGAATTTGATTGGTTGCTTGTACCGCCCGATTTTCTCCACCGTGGCGGTTAGTGTTCCTGCGTCCGCCGGTTGATTTGGTGCTTCGATTGGGCGCTTCCCCCAATCCAATTGATGTGTCCGTTTGAACGACACTTTCTTGCTTCTTGTATGAGTTCCTCATATGGTCGCTTTTACAGCTCCAAGTTCTGTGGTTCTGGCGTTCTCTCGCTCTTAGTGGCTGATAAATGGGATCACTTTCGATGTGTTTGTTGATGGCTTCTTCGGTGGCAGTTTGTCCTGTTGCATCGATCGTATTTGGCTTCCTGAGTGTTCTCCAGATGAAATTCCTCGGGTATCCATTTTTCTGAAACAATTTATATAGGCGCTTTTCTTCCTTGATCTTGGATTCTGTTGTACTGCAGTGTGTCTTGATCCGCTTGAAAAGTGTCCGAATGCAGCTTCGTTTGTGGCAATTTGGATGGTTGCTGTGGTAGCTGAGGATTTGGTCCGTATGTGTCGCCTTTCTAAAGACCTCAGTTTGTAGTTGTCCGTTCGGCAATCTAGTGATGAGGATGTCCAGGAACGCCAGATTTCTGTTGTTTTCTTCTCGGTTGTGAATATGATGTCGTCGATAACGTTGTTCAACAGTTGGCTCACTCGTTGCAGTTCGGTCCTTTTGATGATCACAAATGTATCGTCCACGTAACGGATCCAAATTTTGGGATTTATATCGGGCAACGCAATTTGTTCCAACTTTTGCATTGTGACTTCGGCAATGAATCCTGAAATTGGCGATCTCATTGGTGCCCCTCGTAGTTGTTCATAATATCCTCCGTTGAGCTCGAAATGTGTGATCATGCATAAGTCGAGTAATCTGCAGGGGTCTTCTTTCTCCAGTGATCCAGTTGGCGTGCCGTTGTCCAATAATTCGGCCACAGTTGTCTTAACCGAATCCAGGTCCACAGACGTGAATAGTGAGCTCACATCAAATGAGACTAATATTTCGTCCTGATCGATGCTCACGTGTTTTAGTTTCTCCAAAAATTGTCCCGGATTGTTGATTGAGTGTTAAGACCCACTGATGAGATGCTTCAAACTTTTCCTTACTTCTTTCGAAAGATTGTAGGTCGCTGTTCCAGGAAGTGATACAATAGGCCGGAGGGGTATTGATTCTTTGTGTACCTTTGGGAGTCCGTAGAAGCGGGAAGTAACCGAATCACGAGCTCTCACTCTCCAATACTCCTCTTTTGTAATCTTGTGGAGATTTTGGAGCCGCTTTAAGTTCTTATTGATTT